GACTGAAATCACACAAAGTATGTTCTTTGACTGCAGTGGAATTAAATTAGAAACCAAAGACACTGCAGTGGAATTAAATTAGAAACCAAAGACAGAAAGATATTTGGGGAATTTACAAATATGTGGAAACTAACCAACATACTGCTAAATAGCCAATGGGTCAAAGGAGGAATCACAAGGGAAATTAGAAAAGACTTTTGAAATAACGGAAAATGAAATAACAATACACCAAAAGTTATGAGATGCAGCTAAAGCAGTGCTCAGAGGGAAATTTATAGGAAATGTTCAGAATGTGCCAACTCATAGAAACTGAGTGTAGATCAGTGGTTGCCAGGGGTTGGGTAGAGGGGCAAGGGGCTGTGACTACTTTTGAGGGTGATGAATACATTCTTGTACGACTTTGTAATTATACTAAAAACTACTGAAGTGTACACTTTTAAGAGGTGAATTTTACAGTATGTGAATTATATCTCAATAAGCTGTTATTTAAAAAATAGTACCTTTGAAAATCCCTTACGCTGACAACTGAATACTGAGTATGTGATTCCTGAGCATGCTACCCTGCAGAGCAAAATGCATGCATCGATGTTTAAAGGACCTAGTACTATCCAGCATGTAATGATGTGTACAAATGTAAGAGACAGTTTTGTAGTAGTTTTGTTCTATGACTCTACTGTGACTCTTGATGAATTCCATTAGTCAAACTTACACACAATGCATGTCCACTGTAGAGAAAGAGCACAGGATTAAGAGTCAGGAGACCTAGGTTCTAGCCCCATCCTGGCTATTTAACTTCCCCTTACGGGGCCTTTGCTTCTATATCTGAAATTTGAGGAAGACGCAGACTAGAAGATCTTTCAGTTTCCTTCTGGTTCTAAAATTCTCTAAGTCAGATCATTGCATTTTGTGTTTTATTAGTTAGACCAAAGCAAGAGAAACGAGACAGACACTGCCAAGTTCATGAACTCCCTGGGCATCTTGGGGGGGGGGGCAATACAGAAGGTCCTTTTCATTATGGAGGCCCCTCTGAGTCCCACCACACCGAACCCTGGGCTTTAGCATTCACCCTTGCTCTTGATTATTCATGTAACAGACCCTTCAGTGTAGTTGGTTGGCTGGTGGAAATAATTACAGGAGAAGATTATTTCAGACTTATATTTCAGAGGAAGGCAGGGGGACAGGCCTATGGGTAGAATAGGGAGGAGCCTGCACTTGGAGTTGCTATGACCTGGGATGGGTAAGGTGAGAGGCAGGCTGTGGAGGGAATCCATATGACTAGTCTTGGGAATGAACTTCTGTACTTCTCTCCTCCATCCACTTCCTTCGTATTCAAAAGATATTTTCTTGTGTGGGTAGAACAATGTTCAGGAAAAGGAATTATCTCAACTCTGTGTTTTTCTTGATCGATATGTAGAAATACAGAAAGACACATATTGCTTAACAGTACAAATAATTTGCACCTGAAATTCATTTGCTTAGTCCCTTGGAGCCCTACAGAACAGAATGTTTTAACAGATACAGCTGTGCTGGTGATACTATTGCGTTAGAGAAAACAAAATCTTGGTCTCTGGTCCAAGGAGCTTATAGGCCAAAGGAAGTCAGAGAGGAGTTTTGAGAAACCTGGCTTCTAGTTTGGGTTTGCTTTTTCCCAAATGTGCCCTGCACTTTTCTGACGGCATGGCTTAATGCTGGAGTGCCCATTCTCTTCACCAGCCATCAAAAGCCGACCCAGGCTTCAAGGCCCCACTTCAGTGTCACCTAGTCTGCAAAACTTTCCCCATCTCCCACCCTCCCCCAGGCTGAGGCCTTTCCCACCCCTCTTTGTGTGCCTATAGTCCTTTGGTCCGCTCTTGGTTACACTACCAAAGTCCACTTAGAGTGGTGTCTGTGACTTAAGGATCAGGACCCTGCTTTATTCATCAAACTATCGATATCTCCAAGCGCTTATAGGACAACAGAAAAAAGGTCTAGAAACATAGAGGAGAATGTGTATTTAAATCATGTTAGTTCTATTTTCAAGTAATATGTCAAATATATTCCCTTCCGATCTCCAGACAGCTCTGCAAGCCAAATGCCTTTAAAGGCATGAGTGCAATCACTAATCTGGAAAACATTTTCAAATAAACAAAAGAGTTTCCCTATATTTCTAGGCTTTTGGAACATCTTTAATGTGCTACCTTCTCCACACTGTTGAATCATACTGGGGTTGTCTTTGCCCTTGGCACCCCCCTTTTACATTTGTAAGATGGAAACACTGCCTGACCTAGCTCTTTCACAGTGTTATCACAAGGGTAAACAGGAAAATGACTGTGCAAAAGGATAAAGCAGTATGGAAATGCAAAATGTTGTTCTCATTAATTATCCAAGGACTTACTTTGTGTCCATATTGTAGCACTTGAGTATGCGGACTTTGGCTAACCCCCTCACAGCTGCATTAAAGAGGATTCTCCATGAGCTGCTTAAGAGGGGAAGCCAAGTGGCTGATTACAGCTTAGGGCCTTGCCACAGCCATCAAAAGTTACCAAAGGGATGCTGGGACTTCAAGTTTGTTTCCAATTGCGCAGGAGGAAAGTCATGGCCTCAGCCACCTGCTTCCTGTCTCCACCATGACTCACACCTTTCAGGTCCACTTGGATGGAAGTTCAGATGAGAACTGCTTAGGCCCGCTGCCCAAGGACCTTGAGGGTGCTAACTAAGGCTCAGGTAGCTGGGTAAAAGGAGGAGCAAGAAGCCGAGTCCTGAGACCCAGGGGGACTGAGCCAAGGTCACAGAACTTTTTAGGTTATTCAGAAGAAAACAGTTCACCCTGCATCATTGGTGGTATTAAGCATGAAGCTGTTGCCTCCTGATTGGATGCCCTAAGAGAGACACGACATTCCTTCTATGACAATTCTGCCCCAAATGCAAAATAGGGACTTAATCACAAGGAAACATCAGACACACCTAAATCAAAGGACGTTCTACCTAAGAACTGGCCCGTACTCTCCATTTCTACAATACACGGTCAAAAAGAAAGACTTTTAAAAGTTGTCTCTTGAAAATCATATAATGTATTACATAATGTTTGTTTGCTTCACTGTCATAAAAAAAGAGTCATTTTAAAAATAAAAGGACTCACTGAAAATGCCACACAAAAAGCCTGCAAACCCAACCAGGAGAAATGATTTAACAAGGTCAGCACTCACCTCAACGGGCTTATGGACGATGGGTCCTCAGCCTAAATGAACTGAACATGTCAACTGAAAAGCTGAATGACTCAAGTGAGCAGGCCAAATAAATGCCCCAAGCTGCCCCATCCCTTTGGGAAGGTACTGATGGAAGGTGCTGGGGGCAGGTCAATCTTCTCTGAAGGGCGGTAAGGGCAGAAATGCGTAAGGCAAAGACACAGCAAGAAGCAGTGTAGCGTAGGAGCTTCTGTTGGGAGAGCGGAACAACAGAAGTAGACTACTTCCCATCTTGGAGTGTCCATCTTAACAAGCTTTGCTCAGAAGAATAACTGAAAGCTGACTGCAAGAGTAGTTTTCATCCCTGCTACAACCTCTAGGTCGCACTGGCCATACAGACAGTGCAGCAGATCGTCCTTTGGGGGAAACCAAATAGCTGAGCAGGACAATTAGAAGGTTCTGGTCAGGGTCAGTACCAGAAACTTAAAGGGGCCCTTACAGGAATGGAACAGGAAGTAGGAACGATGGAACGGGTAATGGTCAGATGAACCAGGAAATTAAAATTCTAATGTAGAGAAATGGGAAAATGGACGTGGGGCAGTGGTGTACTGTGGTTACACGTTTAACAACCAACTTCCTGGGGGAAAAAAACAGCAGCCTTGATGTGTAAAGTGTGCTGATTTCCACGGTGCAAATACTCCCACCACGGCTGAGTTCTAGGTACCAACATGGCGTCGCTGGCCACAGAGCTAGCGTGAACTGGCTCGGGCGTACGGGTGGTGGTAACCTGGGCACCTGGCCTACGTCTGCCACCACCTAGCTACGTCACCCTAGTAACTTAACCTTTCTGGGTCCTAATTTCCTCCCTTGCAAAAGGTCGGCCTCACAAGACAATGGAGAGAATCAAGTGAAAGTAATCTATCTCCATCTAAATTCCCTTCCAGCTCCGAACATCTGTGGTTCCGTGATGGAGCTGGCCACACTAGCGGCCTTTTGCTTTTTTCCATTTCACACAGAGTCTTGTGAGCAGGGAGAAGCTGCTCCTGAGTGTGGCAGATTTTCAGAGCAGAAACCACATTCACATCGCCTCAGAGATGAGGTTCAAGGCCGTGGACCACTCCCACTCCAGATGTTCTATCCAGAAGAGATTTCTGGGTGGGAATCTGCTTGGAAAGTGGGGCTAGCAAGTCTACAAGCTTCTCGTATTTTAGCAGGGTATTTGTTTGGAATGACTTGGAGGTGTAAATGGTGCCCAGGCAGGGCCAGTGCGGCACACATGTGTCCTTTTCTCCTACACTGAGCCAGAATCTGCCTGGGAAGGAAGCATACCTCCGAAACTAGGGTCTGTTCATATCTTGATGTCCCGCAGATCTAAAGGGAGTCAGTCACTCGGTGCTAACTTTAACTGCTGTCTTTGTCCCTTCCACCCACTGGTGCCTGGGGACATAAGCTGCCCTCAACACCCTCTTTGCTACGACTCTCAGTTGGAGTGAAAAGCACTTGGCTCATCCTCTGAGCCATCATTTGGCGACACCAACACCGTGAACTCAGAAATATGTATTTGGGACCTTTGTTACTTCCTCCTGTTGGGTAAGCGGAACTGGGAGTAGGTAAACGTGAGGGGGCTGGGGGAGGCAGGTGGTCAGAGAAATAAATGAAAGTGACTGGAAGCTTGGTCCCTGCTGGGATTCCCAGGGCTGCGAACTCAAGGACCAGAGAAGGGAGATTTTCTGGCCTTGCTGCATTGCTGAAGGAGATGGCAGAGCAGACCCTCACCCAGCTATTCAAAGAAGTCGGAGTGCAAAGGGATTTAGTAAGGTATAAGAGACATAATACCTTGTGCTTCCGGAGGCTGCCAGGACTGGTGGGCGTGGAGATGGGTGACTGTTTAGACTTGGGGGTAGAGAGCTGGCTGCTGGAGGTCCCGTTTGCTAGCCCGAGGCAAGAGAAAAGGAAGGGATAAGAATCAACAGCATACAAAGGAACCAGTTATCCTTCCCCTCCGAAGACACTAAGAACATTCAGGCAAGGTACACAGACAACCAAGTGATTTGATGAGCGGAACAAAGGTGAGAAGAAACACATTCCTCAGAAAAGCCGGAACTGCAACCCTCAGTTAATTAGATCCTGGAGCAGTGCAGGGCCATAATCCGCCCACCCTCTCCCCTGAGTGCTTCCAATTACAGGGCTCTGGTTCTTTTCAAACCTTTCTCATATTCATTCCCAAGTTTGACCCTAACACCATCTCCGGGAGGTAGTCTGGGAACATACGATTTTGTTTCAATGTTACAAGGCAGAAAAAAAAAAAAAAAGTGAGGCACAAAGAGGTTCTGTGCCTTACCTTAAAGGGGAAGGGAATATGGGTGACTGGGACCAGGGGCACATCCCCTCTGGTGGCAGATGATGTGGCAGGTACAGGACAGTCCCATGGTCAATCCCTGCACACTCTCTCCTTTCCTGCTCGCCTCCCTCTGCCACCCCCACTCTCTCTTCCCTGCCTCATCCTGGCTGAAAAGAACAGAAGGAAAGAAAAAAGAAAGGGAACCACTCAGGAAGAAGAATAGAAAAAGAAAGTGAAGGAGAAACAGTGTGAGACATAAAGGCTGCAGAGCAAGGTGGGCAGGGGGAGGGGATCAAAAACGAGGGAGAGAAAGAGATCAGGCGTGAAGAGGCGAGACGAGGACGATGGGCGTAAGAGATTGGGAGAAGAAAAGAATGAGGAAGTTTGAAACCGGGAGAAAGGCACAGAGACAGAGGAAGGCAGACAGCCATGGCCGGAGTCAGGGTGCACCCCCATTTCTCTCTAGGCCAACAAAATGCTGAAAAGGAGATGGTTTAGTATGTAACATCTTGTTACTCCATTGTGTTGGCAAATTGTTTTATATTTCCTTTGCTAATGAGCTTCTTCAAGATCCAATCATGTGGAAAAAAAAATGTGGTGCATGAAATGGAACAATTAAACAGCTTTTGAGTAGATTCGTGTTTAGACATCTCATGCTAAAGTTAGTTTTTTCTTTTTTTTTTTTTTAATCTACGGACCAACTTCGTTAATCAGAGATACTCTGAAATGTGCTTTAAAAATAAAGGGATGTTTTTAAAAATATCCCAGAGGTATGTGGGGGTGGAGAGGGGGGAGGAAGACAGAAACAAAAAGGAAGGGAAGGCAAGAGGAAGAGATAGAGAGAGAGAGAGAGAACAGCAAATTCTGAAAGTTAAGCAGGAGGATGACCTGAGCTAGTCCCACACATAAAGCTTAAATTTTGTATCATGAATATTTCCTGAGGCTATAGGTCCTCTCCTCCACGTAGGATAATGTTTCCCTTAGGTTCTGGAACCTGCGTATCAACTGTAGAGATGGAAGAGACACCAGTGGGGTGTTTGCTGAGTTTATCCAAGTGCAAGTAAGCTGAAAACTGGGCACATAGGTATCCACCATCTGGCTTGAGCTGTGTATTAGTGAATGCATCTCTCACCCACTTACTGAGAGGTCCTTCTCCCTGTCAGGGCTTCCTGAAAGTCATTCATTCATTTAGCCAGTAGTTACGGGGTGCTTTCTCTAAACCAAGCCAAGTATTGGACATTGGGGTTTCAGAGATGAGCAAGTCACTTCCTGTGGTGAGCCAGGCAAGAATACAGTGGGCTAAGGACTATGGCAGAACCATGCAGGGGTAATTATTACAGCCCAGAGGAGAGGCTTTGAAATCAGCGTACTGGGAGGCACACAGGAGGAGGCAATGCCTGGGGAAAAAAAAAAAATCTTGAAAGATGACCCTGGAATAATTGGAGACAAATCTATGGAGACAGAAAGTAGATGGACCGGTGCCAGGGGCTGGCCAGGGTTGAAGTGGGTAGCTGGGGAGAAATGAGAAGTGTCTCCTAATAGGTGCAGAGTTTCTTTTAGAGGGGTAAAGATGTTCTGGCAATCCTGGTGACCATGACACGGCTCTATGGCTAAACTAAAATCCATTGAACTGTACATTCTAAAGGAGTCAATTCTTATGTGAATTGTATCTCAATAAAGCCATTACAAAAAGATGAACTGGACCTGCTTAGGCAGAGGGCAGAAAGGGTATTCTAGACTTTAGGATTGTACCATTAGGGGCAAGGACACGGGAGTGTAACAGAATACCGTGTATTTATAGAGTACAGATAGCCCAAAATGGCTCAAAAACAGGGTGCCAGCAGGGAGTTCCAAGATGTGAGACGGGAGAGGACATGGGCCGTGGGGGCCTTTTGTGGGGCCTTTTTTTGGGGGTTTCGTTTGTGAAAGAAATCTGAAAGTGATACTCTCAATTTTGCATTTTAAAACTATTACTCCAGTTGCTGTGATAAAGCTGGGGTGGGGTTGGTGGGGTGGGCTGAGGTAAGGGTAGAAACGTAGAAACAAAGAGATCGGTTAGAAGACAATGCACCCGTCCAAGGGCGCCTGGGTGACTCAGTCAGTTAAGCGTCCTCCTCTTGATTTCGGCTCAGGTCATGATCTCAGTGGTAAGATCGAGCCCGGCATCAGGCTCCGTGCTAGGTGTGGAGCGTGCCTGGGATTCTCTCTCTCTCCCCCTGCCCCTTCCCCCACTCTCTTTAAATTCTTATTTAAAATAAATTTTTTTAAAAAAGAAGACAATGCATGAATCCAGGTGAGAGGTGATGATGCCTTAAAGCAATGGAGAGGGAGAGAAGGGACAAGGCAGAAGGTAGAGACCTAGAGGACAGATAAGCTTAGAGTGTTATATGCATGCACCGGCAAGCCACGCCAAGAAGAACGTGATCTGTGCCAACCAGCATGGAGGCTGTGGGTGCCAGGCTTGGCCAGGGCACTAGGCTTTCTGGTGAATGAAGGAGGCACTGTGGAAAAGGCAAGAATGTGTGGAGCCACAGTGGATCAAAGTAGTCCATTACAGGAAAAGGAAGGAGTTGCTGGGTCATCTACAGTGCCTGAAGGCCTTCCTAGCAGGACCTGACAGGTAGTATTCAAGCTAGAGAACAATCTTGGAGATCAGTCTGAGCTGATGTAATGCAAGTCTTCCCGAAGAACCCTGACCTCAGCCATGAAGTCTAACAGATGTAGGCATCCCCAGGTAAGTTCTGGCAATTTGTTCCACGGGATCGATGCATTCTTTGACAACAACGGATTGGAGCTCCCCAGCATTTGTCAGCCACACTACACAGCTGTGGTTACTATACTTACTGATTTCCCCATGTGAAAAACAATCTTTTTCACCTACACCCTCATCTAGCTGAGGGTGAGCGCACTGGTCTTGCCAAAATGGAGAAAATGTGAACCACAAGCATGTCTGTGGGTGAGGCAGTTTCCACCTATTTATTGGCCATAGAGCTGCACAGACAGGTTCTTGGGCAACTTCCAGTAATTTTCTCAATATCCTCGGAAACTCTCTAACTCAAAAAATTTAGGGGTAATACCTAAATCCATATCTTATCAATACCTCTCTCTCTAGTCTGTGTGTGTGTGTCTATGTTGACTCTCTGCCACTCCCCGGCTAGTCAATCTTAAGCTATCTGTAATAAAAGGCTTTATTTTGTCATCCACATTCACCAAGCATTTTGAAAATAATTTTTTTAATACCTTAACTGCCACTCACTTCAGTGTTGGAAAATGCATACACTTGCCCAGACTTCCTGATGGACTAAAACCCAAAGATGGACATGGAGACATGAGAGAACGTAGACACGCACAAGCAGGTGTCAAGTCCTCCCAAGCTGAAGGAGCCCCTACGCTCACAGACTAGATAAAAATGCATTCACACGTGGGAAAAAATACCTGGGAGTGTGCCATTTGATATGGATTCTGAAGCCAATTCATATAGATGTCAAGTAAGAGAAGGAGCAGGAAAAAATTGCAAAGAGGGTCTGACGAACCATGCATGGTCTCACACTGGTCAATCCACACGGATGGCCATGACAGTTCATAGTGAGAGTGGCTGGAAATAACACCACTGCTTGACATCCGTCATCGTCCTTCATTTTTCTTTACTAAATATCCTCAGCTCCTGTCTTTGAGCTTCTAATGCTCAGCTGCCATTTGGGGATGCACCAGAGGAGACTCTGCCCCCTTTGACTTGTCTGTCTTTCTCCTTGCCCTGCTCAGAACCACAGCCCTGTCTCACTGTGGCCACTTTTATTTCCTCAGAGTCCAAATCTTTTCATTCCTTTTTTTCTCGTTGTACAGGGCAGGTTTTTCCCTCTACAACAAGGTACATCAAGGACTTCTCAGTCTCCTAGGCCATCTTTTCAATCTTATCAATAAAACCCAAGCTAATAATTAGTGCTTCTTCAGTGTCTGATAGGTCAGGCACTCATTCTGCATGCACCCCTCCCCCCCCCCCCAGCCAAAAAAAACACAGCCTCTTTTAGTTGTATTTTCATTTCCAATGAGGAAAGAGAGGCTGCTCCAGTTAGGGATAGCAAAGTCAGGATTTGAACACACGTCTCTCTGATTCCAAAGCCTATGTGTGTTTCAGTTTTTGCTACATCACTCTTGCTTTTATTAACAAATTGCTTCTGAGACTCCTTCCTAGGACAACTTTCTGATGGAGGAAGGAAGGGGGGCAGAGAAGTTGGTGGAGAAAAGAGAGGAATAGGACAAGGTAGAACTAGATGCCAGAACTTACACGCATCTACTGGACTTGTATGGCACTTATCTAGTTTAGATTAGAAAGTATGTAGCAAGAACCTTCTTTTATTCGCCAAAACAACTGGGGATCATAGACAGTGTCATGAAACAGTAGCAGACAGAGCAGCCAGCATGGCATGCAACTTCCGTCACACCACGGAGCTTTCTGGGAAGATGGTATTTGTGCTATGTCCGTTACTCCCCTCAGCTGCTGCCCTTCAGCGATGCAGCACAATGGCCAAGCTTGGCTTGGCACACAGTCTTGGCTCCCTAGCTTCTCTGAATCATTATGCCTGCCCTTGC